GTATACTTTCTGTAGATGAACGCGAGGCGCACCTGTGTCGAATGGAAATCCAACCGCCAAACTGGCCATTCCCTGTGCTCATGCAGAGACATCTGAATGTCCAATCGAAAGGCGCATGGGAGATGGACTGACCGATATCGTTCCAGCGATAAAATCGATAATAGGGTCAAGCCCAACGGCTAGCAGCAGAAAAACTCGCATCAGAGCTTGGACTGAAGCTGAAGGTTCTATCTAGCGCACCTTGGCCCTCCAAAAGCTCACTCATCTTGCGAAATTATGGCTTGATAAGTTACTGGGAACGCAGCCAGCTGTCTGTGTGATGCAATCCAGGAGAAACGAGGTCAAGACAAAGCCATTAGCATTGGGGTTGTGTCACATGAAATACATATTGGGACAATCGGATACGGAGCGGACCTCGTATGATTAGTCTCCCAAAGGCAGACGTAGATACCTTGGTTCAACCTACGCAGGCTTCGGATATCCGTATCTGACGTCGTTATCAGCATATCACATGACTGCCTTTACCCCTACCTTTTCCCAAGGTCGCGTCTATCGCATTCATTCCCCCATGTACAGAGCACTATAATCACTTACGTTTTCGCACCTAATCTACTATGGTTATGATATCAGTTCCCACCGACGTGACGCCGAACTCTTCCTTTGACTGGACATCCGAACTTGGTCAAATCAGACTCGTCCCTAATCGAAAGTACACACCATGAGATCAGCGGCCCATGCGCGAGACATCTGATTGATATTATCGTAGATGAGTAGAAATGCGCGGAGGCGTGCTTTCTCGCGAATAGTATCCAGAGCCTGAAAGCGCCTGTAATAGCTTGAGGACCGTGGAATATGCCACAGAAAGACCAATCCGGCTCATGATTGAGTAGACACCATGGGGTGCTGTGTGAGTGAACAACCAAACACCGATGATCTCTTGAAATGCAGTGAACTGGAGATTTCGTGCATTCATTAGGATTAGGTAGACGACAAGAACTATCTAAATATATGGTTGAGAATGACTTTGTCAATTGAGATTGTATCGGAACACACCACAAGTCGATTGCAACGATTCTGGCCCTTTCCCGATGACGGAGGGGCGGAAAGATACTCGGTATATGATACCGTGGATTCCGATTGAAGGTGAGTTGATTCGGGAAAAGCAGCGGACACGAGAAGGCGCAGAAGAGTCGGACCTTTCATTTCAAACGTGGCAAGTACATTGTCCATCGAGAACGACAATATAAAGTCCCAGGAAGCCCCCTGAGTTGGCAGATGATACTCCTCAGAAGACAAAGCAGCTGCCTCCTTATCCACCATCCTTTCTACCTTCTCAATCGCCCACTGACCCAGACAGTTTTGGGTCGCAAGTCTCCCTCTCCTGCTGCCCCCTCTTCCTCGGTGAGTCCCTCTCTTCGATAGGGGCGCTGTAGCGGTTGGAATACATCATCTCAGCGATTTGGTGTGGCTTCACGTTTGTCTGGCCTTGGAGGAACTTCGCAACCGCTTGGATTCACACCTGTGAGTTGCCTTCTGAGCCGCGGGGAGGGTTGTTGAACAAATGCTGCAGGAAGTCGCCAATAGACCATTTGTTTCGAGAGATCTCGTGGAGTATGTTGTCTAGATTTGCTGCCTGAGTGGTGGTGAGCGCGTACGCGCTCGTCGGCGATGATCAGCGACAGTGATTCTCTCACAAGGCAAACCAAACTCCGACTCAATCCTCCCTATGATATTTGAGACTCCGAGTGAAAATCCCGACCTCTCGACAAGAGCCCTCAGGAGAAAGTAAACTACGTATGATCGGATTTCGGCGGGTTTAGACTCACAACACTGCTCCAGCCTCAAGCCTACCGAATGTGTCGGAACCTCGATCTACAGCAGTCCACTCTGCTTTGGGAAGCATTTCCAAGGGATTGAAGCTGAAGCGCACGCGGAACATTACGAATCAGGAAGAGGTCTCCGAAGAGCGAAAAGGGGCCGTAACAGGGGAAGCAAAATGGGCCGAGCTGGGAATTGAACCCAGGACCACCTCCATAGAGAGCTTTCGAAGCTCGGGGAAGCCCGAAGGAGGTATCATACGACTAGACCACACGGCCTGATAGAGACAGGGAGGCAGCTTAGAGGAGTGGTTGACAGGTACGACGAGAGAGAAGGAAAGAAATCCTCAGATGGGTCGCTGTGGCCAGGGAGAAATTGGGTATGGGCAAGAATCTGCACCAGGTGGTAAGAACTCCAAGGCTTGCAATCAATGGAAGGGGTGGTTAATAAGAAGGGAAAAAAGCAAAGGTCAATCTGGCCTGTAGTGACTAGCGACCGTAGAGCGGGATAGTATGATATTATTACAATGACCAAGACGTCGTCAACCCGCTGCATCCGTCCAGCTGGACATCTCTCTCGAAAACCCCATAGCCGCTCCCAGGAGACCTCGCCTGCCAGTCCAACGTCAACGATCTTGGCCTCCCCATAGGCTTCACCTCCCTCTGCACGTTTGCCTGTCGACCAACTGCTCTACCAGGAAATGGCTCACGGTTGGTGTTATCAA